ACAGTGAATGTGCTCAGTCTGTCTGTGTGCTTCATAGACTGAAGGATGAATCATCCTGGGAATGACCTGATTCTCCAGAGAAGTGTGAGCACATGTGTGTTTGTGCGCGTTTGGGGGTTAATGGCGCATAAAACGTCTTCATTAACATCTCCTCAAGATAAACCCCATGATGAGACAACAATCAAATCTGTCAGTTACATGTCAGGAACAAAGGATATTTGTGGGACTAATCATTACATGACAACAGTGAAAAGATCACGCAAACCTTTTGTATCCATTTTTAATTATACCTGTCCTTTTCTGAACAGATTTAAACATAAAAAACTGCTGCCGGCGAGTACGCTAGTGTTACATTCACACACTGCATTAATGTTAGCTTTCATTTTCATATATATCTGTGTAGTTCAGACACTTTTAGGGGCTGTGGTCCGATTTTAGGTCTCCCCTGCATCTATCCGTCATCTATCCCACTGTAACTCTATGAGCTTTTAAATAGTAACACTCTCACACTCAGCCATTACCTCTCTCATATGGGACATATGTCTGAGGTGTCTCCTGATGCTCGTCAGGCTCTTCCTCACTCTCTGGTCTAGAGCCTTGTGGTTGCACCTCATCTTTTAATAGAATCAGAATTAAGAATAGCAGTTAGTATGGGCTACTCATGTAAGCAGCCACAAAAGCAAAAATAAAACAATTAATAGGCTTTTTTCATTGGGCTCAAGCAGTGAGGGCGAATGGGCTGCTCCCTGTGCTTGGATGCAGCTCCCCCCGCCCGTACTAGCGTGTGCAGACCTACCTCAGTCACTCTGATGAGTCATATCCCATCATGGGGCGATCCAGATCTGAGGCGGTGTGTGTCATGGGTGAGGTGGAGATGAGGGTGACAGCCAGGATGCAGCCTCCAGTGTCTTTCAGCTCTTTATCACAGTAATGACAAATGAGAAGCTCCATGTGTGTTGCAGCAAGCTTAATGCCAGGACCGATTTTCATCCTCTAATATACAAAAGGCAAAGCGGAAAGTAATTCAACTACTGCTGTTATCTGTATCAGACTAATCAGAAGCTATGAAATATTAATTACTGTGACACAATAGCAGGGTTTTGATGTGTTTCCTCTGATGTGTTCAGGCGATATAATGTCCCCTCTGGCTGCTATATTACAGGTCCTCAGCTGCTAATAAGAGACAGCAGCTGGTTGGTTTTCTAAATATATGACAAAAGTCCATTTAATTTTATTTTAAATTCAGTTTGAATTAACATTGCTTACAATAAATTGAGAGCTCCTGTGCACTTTAAATGTTTTGGATACATATACTGTAGGTCTATATAAGTGTGTTAGTCGATAGGTACTGATAAGGTTGACAGAAACCTGCCCCCAGATGGGTGGATCAGCCAGGGTTTAATAAGAAATCTTTCCTTAGCTTTTAGAAACACCTTGATTTGACTAATTTAATATGATCTGTCAACAGAAGTTAGTAGTGTCACAACACTGTGAATCAGGCCTATGCATCCACACTAAAAAAACCTTCTCAGATATTTCATATTCTGGCTAAATATAGCTAACAACCAGGCAGTCTCTCTGGCCTATATGTGCTAATTCTCCAGCAGACCTATTGTATATGAAAGTGCTAGACATGGCTGCTGGGAGGTTTGAGAGCCTCTACAGGCTAATGATGTGCTAAAGTACACTGTGCCTTATTAGCTGTTAACAGTCTATCAAGTCACTGCTGTAGACAGAGTTAAAACAAAGAAAAGCTGAAAATGTTCACATTTAAGAAGGTGTAACCTGAAAAAATGGGATAAGAGATAAGGGTAGAGCCTTGCTGTGCCACACAGTCAGCCTGCACCCCACTGGCAAGCCTCTGCACCACGGCCTGGAAATCAGTGGCAGACATGGGTGAGGAGGATGCAATGTGGCAAGCCAAACCATAAGGACTGCCCAAATGGATGGAGGGAGCTGTAGAGGGGGATGGGTGCAGGAAGAGGAGGTGTGAGTGGGTCAGCATCTGTGAGTGAGCATTTATCTGCAGGAATAAGGGAATCCTGCAGACAGATATGAAAATCTGAGTTAATGTCTACATATACAGGACATCCCAGACAGGAATGAAAGCCCAAACAGAGGCACGCTGACCACACAGAGTTAAAAAGACGTGTGTTGTGGGGTTAGTTCGAGCCACCGGGGTGCTGTTGGTGGGATTTTGAGGTTTTAGGAGGCAGGGGGTTCATTCCACCATTTCTTTGATCTGTTGAATTGGCCTGAGGCCTTGTGCAACCTGCTGTGAATGCCGTGTGTGTGTGTGTGGGGGGGGTCGTGCTGGAGGATTTGTGTGTAATTCAAGGCATAAAACCTGAAAATAATACAGCGCATAGTGTCACATTCGAAAGGTAATTGTTTTAATGAGAATATGTGTCAGGTGAGATTAATGCAAGAGGACATGAAGTTCATAAATCATACTCACATGCTTCTTTGTCTTGTAAACACTATCATTCTCACTGACTCCCTCACACACACACACACCATTGTATATGAGACAGAACAGTGGTGTATGATCGTGCATAATAGCATGCATGTGTGAAGCCGATGTTTTTGTTTTATTTCTTAAAATAATTGTAAAATACTTTTATAGGGATGTTGGTTACACGAATACGTATGAATTAGATTTACTTCACTTAATTTTTTCTCATTTTATCAATATCTTAGAAATCCACATGGTGAAATTCACATTTATCCATAAGATGTTTGGGAACAGATGTGAGGATTACTGGCTCTGTTTAACCCCGAGCTGGGCAGAAATGCGACTTATCTTGCAGAGACGGTAATACACAGAAGAAGTGCATTAGTGTAATATGGTGTAGCCCCAGCAAACAAAGAGGAATCCCTTTTTAAACAGGGATGGTATCACACATGGGACACATTTACAGATGCAGCAGAGAGTTGGTGGGCTCAGGGTGTAGCTACAGTGGGAAACGTCACTTGTCTCTCCTCGTTTTATGTCTGTTCCACTTATAAAACTCCCATAAAAGCCATAATGTTGTGCAGATGTAGACAGTTTGCCTGTGAGTTAACCATACTGAAGGCACAGTATGATGAGAATGCCTTTGATCCAGACTTTATGAAGGAGATGAACTCTTACATGATTTTGCTGACATTTCCAGGAGACTTTAAAGACCTGAGTCGGCCTAATCAAGTCAGTGTGCTCCTCGGTCTTCAATGCTAGGTAGCATGGAGGCGGCCAGCCTCTTAGCTTTTTGTTTGCCTGGTCTGAAGATGAAGAGACATTGTGTCTAAATACTTTCTGAAAATACATTAGCATTTTCTGCAATGTGAATAATAAAAAAATCATTTATTCTGAGTTTTTGTACATTTTTAATTTTTATTTTTAAACATACTGTGAAATATAGATTATTTCATTAATTATGTATTTATACAATTATATTTTTATATATTTGCCTTTATACAATCGTGTATAAATGCATTGTATGTTCTGCTACATGTAGCTGTGACCTATACACAGACTGTTGAATTAAAGTCTATAAATTTCAAACTGAGTTGTAATACATCAGAATTAGTCTTTGCATATTGTCTGATGAGCTCACTACAGGTGTACAAAGACAAGCAGGTCAGGTCAGAAAGGTGATTTCTAAAGCCTAGGGCAGAGCCAGACTAGCTGTTTCCTTCTTTATACTAACCTAGGCTAATCACTTCTACGCTCTAGCTTCATAGCTAATATGTGACTGGTATCAAATTTACATCTAACAAAAATCAAAAGCGCCATTAATTGTATTTTCCAAAATGGAAAACTAAGGTAATTTACTGGAAAAAGTTGTTCACTGGGGTGACACAGATTATTAGTCCCACATGGTTTACATTTGCATAATTCAATGGGAGTCGGCCTGTTTACATTAGATAATATTTTTTCAGACCAATTAAATGGCATTCATCCTTTTTTCCTGTGCAAACCCACACAAACTGTTTTCTTGGCCCGTTACCCCCAGTTTCTCCTACAAGGCTATTCCATCATACACACACATAGGGGGCGTGGGGGGGAGTCAGTGAGGTTGGGGCTATAGCTCATATCCTTCCTCACTTTCCCTCTCCTGGGCTGGATGATGGCCTGTAAAGAGAAGCATTAAGATGTAATTTGTTACTAAGACACATACACACACATTGCCTGGAGAAAGCTATCCATCACAAGTAGCCTCATTCCTCACTGTGGAAAAAGGCACCGAGCCTTGCTGCTTGTCTGCTGACCTCTGACCTCCACAGTACAGTATATGTCTGCCTCAACATGGCCACAATAGGAGATACACTCAGAACACAACACCAGGTGATGGTGATAGGTGAAAAAAGGCATGTAATGGAGAAGTGCTCGGACAAATCCAGGAAAACTGCTTGCTTGTTGTCTCCTTTCTGTTTTGCCACAATAACTTCTGCCCCCACCCACGTAATGGGTAATTGTTCCAGACGTGCTAATGAAGGGCAGCAGAGAAGGCTGGGTGTTAAGAGGCAGCGCTCTCCTCTGCTTGCCTTAGATGAAGGATTCTTCTGTTGGAAATGTGATTCCTTCATCCTTCTGGATATTTTCATTGTATTCGATAGCCTCGTCTAACAACGCCCAGCACTGGAGCTCGGCAAGCTCCTCCACTAGGTTCCTATGGTAACAACCCAGAGCGTGTGTGTTTGGGAGATGAGTGATTGTCTGTTTCTATGAAGTGTGGCTTATTTTTACATAATGAATCAGTTATCATGGCTGTGGGACAAGCTCAACTGAATAAGCAGACCAAAAAAAAAAAAAAAAAGCCAAACAAACATGACTTTACTGAGCATCTTCACACACATGTAGAGATCTGTTTTTTGGGGGAGGAAACTGTGCAACAATCTGTGTGTGTGTATTAGTGTGTGTAGAGGGGAGAAGGTGTATAATGGGGCATCCACCTGACATCAGTGTCTTGCCAAACCTGGTGCCCATAATTGCTTCACTGAGCTTGGGCTGTGACAGCTACACTGCCTCTATTTTTACTTTAACCAGTTCACCACCTGGGAGAAAGCGTCACACTGCCCCCTACTGTCCACTGTTGGTGGGTGATTGTAATTACAGCACAACTAGGACTTACATTCTAACATTTAAAAACACAACCACAAAGATTTATTGCCATTTAACATGCTTCAACATCAGAGCGAAATATGTAATGCAATAAAATTAAAACTCATGTAATGACAAACAATGTGATCAACAAGACGAGAACAGAAATATGTGAGACAGGCTGGCATCTGTCATTTTTAATTAGAAGCCTATCTTTTGTAATTAAGATGTGAGGAGGTTAATTAAGACTTATCCCTACTGCTGTGAGAACATTGGTTGGATTTAGACCTGCTGTTTAGAGGCCTAATTATCAATGCATGCATAAAAAAGCAAAGCTTCACCACAATGACAAAGCAAAAGCACTGGAGGATGTTTGGAATTTGAGTGCAGAACCTGTTTATAGTTTTCTGAGACAGATATGTAATAGATGCACTATTGCTTATTTCTGTAATAAAATGAAACATAAAATAAATTTCAGATACTGTGCTGGTGTGATGAAGACCACATGCAGCACAACTGCACCACCCTGTGCTCACTGATGGAAGTACATTTGATTATTTTTTATCCTTTAACCTATCCTCCACTCTCTTACAGAACAGGTGACTAGATACTGACGGGCCAATGATTTTTATGCAAGAGTCCTCAAACATGTAAAGAACATCATCAAACACAATGTTCTGGTTAAGATCTTTGCAGATCTTAACCAGTTTCTGTTTCCGAGGCTGCTCATCCTCGTTATAACAGATCTGATGGACTCTTAAGATCGACAGCCAATGATCTTCCAGAGTCTTCAAGTTTTCCAGGGCCTGCTGGATCCTCGAGGCCGCCTGGGATGACTGACTGTCAGGGAAACATATTCGTATGAGGTCGGATCCTTCAACACACTCAACAGACACGTCGAGACCTCTCAAGCATCTGTCAAGTTCTTTCTTGTCAAACTTTTCAATGTATCTGAATATGTATGAGTCGATCAAGCTGCACGTACTGTCTGGATTGGCTGAACAGTCTGCAGACAGGTCTTCTGTATACTCAGCATCACACTCAGAGGACATCAAGTCATCTTTTAGTCTGGTATTAAGGAACTTCGTGGAGCTGCTGTGATGCGACTCCGTCAGATTGTCACTGCTGCTGTAGCGAGAGCCCAGATGATTCCCTGCCCAGGTCTTTGTTGCTGAAATCGTGTCTTGTGAAATATCGTCTACTTCAGGCTGTGATGATGCTATTTTCTCTGCAGGAAGCAGGTCCGGGTCTGATAAGGATGGTCTAATCCCTGCACTGATCTCCCAGAGCACTGTTCTGGGGCTGGCCTTTACTGAAGGCACTTTGAGCTGAGCTCTCAGCTCCTCTTTATCACTGTCTGTAGAAATAAAGCTCCCTACTTTTTGCCTAGCAGAGTTTTGTGTTTTTGCATTTGAGAGCAGGCTTTGAACTTCAGTTGCCTCATCTGTGCTCCGCAGCAGCGATGACAAACTGCAGCTTCCAGAGCCTACAAACCCATGATGAGATATTACCCTCGGATTAAGAGGAGATTCTCTGAGTTTGATGGCAGCAGTCGGGACTGTAGATTTAAGCTGGTTGGCTCTGTGCATGAGGTCCTCCCTCAGGGCCTTGATGGCAGCAAATGGCCCCTCAATGGTGGCTTTCCTCTGGCGGAACAAAAGCTGGAAACGCAGTGATCTGTGGGCAGACCGCAGACTCTGAATCAGGGACTCCAGGTCACTCCGGAACACAAAGAGATCGACCGTAGCGCTGACGACATACAAAAACACCTGCAGCACAAGAATACATTTTAATCAGTATCTTATATTATCTGATAAAAAAAAATCTATTGATTTATTTTGGTGCCATTTTTCTACTCATAGAGAAGTTGGTGCACTGACACCCATACTTACATCTCTGGTGAAGGGGAACACAGTGAGAAGATAGTCTTCAGGAAACTTGCTGTCTGTCATTATCTGCTGCTCCTTTTGCACCACTCTGTCTGCATCTGTCAAGAGTTTATACTGTTATGCGGTGTGTCTGCCCATGTCCTTATAATGATGCCCAGTGAACCCATCAAACTATTTTGTTGTTTCTTGTCACACAGAGATACCAAAGCCTCATTCAACTTGTTACCTACCAGTCTGACATTGGCTTGTCAATAGCAGTAAATGACAATTTAAACCATTCATTGACTAGGCCTACATCCAATCAGCACTTCATCTACGTAAAGATCTGATTTATACTCTATATAAGTGGTTCTCCTAGGAACCAATTATAATAAATATGTTGAACAGACTACCCTCTCAAACTGAGTTCCAGATTTAATAAGCATCCAGATTTCTGAAATATCTGTGTTGCACACAAAAGGTTTTTCAAATCCTGAAGATGATTGTATTTCCTGTTCCAGGTAGCTAAAATATACACTACATACATCCTTACTCTTTTATTATTTTGTATAACAGTATAAAATACTGGAGAGGAATAGCAATATACCATTAGAACTGATAAAATATTAAAGGCATCCTTCCTATCAAAAATGTTTTGCTTGTTATTTTAATTGAATGTTTTAGCTTCATCGTTAAAAAATGATGTATCCTATGCTGTTTTGTCTTCGTGTTCATCTGCAATTTAACTGCATGGGGAAAGACACATCACAATTTATGTCTCTAAGCAAAGTATTTTTGAACATTTTTAAACATGCCTGGAGCAGCTGTTAAATTTTGTTGTCAGTGCACAAACTGGGCTGAGATCATGAAAAAGAGAAACAACTTGAGAATCTTTTAAAGGTGCAGGAGACCGAATATTTTGATCCAGGTTTTTAGAAGAAAAACAGCAATTTTCTTTATTTTTCTGATCCTTAGCTTTGGGACTTAATGTAATGTAATGTTGAGTAGGTAAGTAATGGTAATGTTGAAGAACATAATGGGCTAATATTATGGAAATCAATGTAAAACAGCCCGTTTTTAAATTGGGTTCCGTGTATAAACTATTAACCTGCTTGCAGTTATATTAACTTTAATTTGTGCTCCTCTGATAGGAACAACTTCAAGCACAAACAGGTATTACACCGAAATCTACTACCCGTCAGGTTTTGTGACCACAGGGGGCGCTGTTGCACATTTTTATTATTTGCTGCGTGACAGTGAACCAGAAGAAGAGCGTGTACGGCGTGACCTCTGTAGTATTGGCCGTGTGATGACCACAAATGAGAAAGTTTCTGTACAGTAAATACAGATGATCAGTCTGACGGGTAGTAGATTTCGGTGTAATACCTGTTTGTGCTTTAAAGTTAATGGTCTCTTTTTTTGGTAGAAAATCATTTTCACTTATACTTTGAACATCCATGGGTCACATGGACTGGGCAAACAGTGGCAGTCCAATCACACCAGCAAAAGCAGACGCAATACGGCTACATGCCGTTAAAATCAGCCGATGCTTTTCTACTTTGAAACAAATCCGCCACCATTAACTTAACAGGGTTTAAACCCGACCTGGATTAGTTTACGACGTTTACGTACACGCTCTTCTTCTGGCTCACCGTCGACGCAACAAACGATAGAAATGATGAGCAACAGTACCGTGTGTAACACATTACACTAAAGGCTTGTAAGATTAGCTACAACCCGTTAATTTACCTTCTGCTTTGTCAAAGGCGATAAATGCGACTCCCTTAATGTTAGTGGGATACGTGACCGCCTCGACGTCTCCTCCGTCACTTCTCCTGCGGCTTTGGAAATGAATAGTCAGCTTATCAATCATCCTGCAAACGTCCAACACCTCGGGCACACCGGACACAACCACAGTCCGGCTCTGGTCCCAGCGGCCGGTCTCCATCTCTGCCTCGCACGCCAAACTTGGCGATCACAACTCAGGCTAGCTGTAACACTAGTGGTCCCGCCGTTGCTATATAAACAGTTATTTTTTGAATAGTTTCACTATCCGTTTAGACTGGTGTGTGTTAGATACTGCAGTGACACCCTCTGTCCACTGTGTGTCTCTGTTTCTCTATATTGAAAACCGAGTTCATTCACAATGGCTAATTTATGCAGCTCTAAGCACAGCAAACATCTCTACAACACCCTAAATGCAGATACAAACTTAATGGCAACATTTCCCAGGAGTTGCCTCATCGGTTGCTATTTTTTTCACAAGGATAAGGAATATCTTGCTCCATGGACACATCTCAACAGAACCTCAATGCTGACTCTAGATTACTGCTTGCCTTAGCTTGGAGAAAGTCCACACATGTGGTCTAAGCATTTATTGGAGTCAAACAAAAATAGAAGACAAGGGACACAGAACACCTCTCATGATTCACATCCCCCCATAAAGAATCCAAATGACAGACTTGATTGCATTTCATCTTGTGCATATAAACATTTTAATTAAATATAAAAGAAAGTGGCCTGGCTGAGTGCAACAAACGGGTATGATCAGTTAAAGGAAAATCCAGGCCCTCGCTGATACCAATCAAATCTCCATCTTGATCATCACTTCAGTGCAAATGCAACATTCACTGTGTACAAAAATGACTTTAAACACATTTCAGGTAGTATATCTATTATTCAGTGTTAATGATCGTATGGGCTCACACGATACAGGTGTGTGTTATTGTTGGGAGCATGTTATAGAAGAGAAAAGACCCACTCTTGTGTACCTAACGTGACAAAACGCTGCACAGTTTCAGAAGTTTCAATGTCTCAGTTGATAGAATTATTGAGCAAAGGTAAATAAAATAAAACACTTGATTTGCTATAAATGTTGAAATTAAATGTAATAGTCAAATTTTCAAAAATGGTCACGAACATTCTTGAACCTGAACAAGTAGATTATGTGTATGTTTTGCTCGACACGCATACACCTGCTATTAAATTAGCCACAGTAGATACACTAACATCTCAGCTTGCTAATAAATCTCCAGACACTTTCACTTTTGAACAGCAAAATCAATTATAGGAGAAAGGGGGCCTTGAGTTGAGCTCAGCAGCCACAGATGGATTTTATTAAATAATCCTAATCGCACAGTTTTCCACCCTGGTCAGACCTGGTGGCCAGAAAAAAGATAAACGAAAACAAAATAAAAGTGAACATTCACTCTTCAAACATTTGATACTGTTTTGGATTTGGACAGAGTCTGGGAGACTGTCCAGACTAGGACAGCAGACATGTGTTCATGTAGCGCTCCCCGGCTGCACCGAGACTTCAGCAGCTATGAGCTGGCCCTGTCCGAGTCACACAGCTCCTCTTTGTGTCTAATACTAGTTTGGAGTTTAAAGGTGGCCTGGGGGCTGTTGTGGTGGAGCGCGGGGCTTAGAGCAGCGTATCTGGAAGGGAGGATGGCAAAGACAGAGTATGATGAGGCCAGGTCTCTGCTGGGAACGTCTATGGTCGCACCGCACAACCTAGACTGATGGTCTGACAGTCGCTGGATCAATTTGCCCCCTTTGCAGAGCTCTGCCAGGAGGTGGTGGGAGTCTGTATAGCTGATCCCCTCCAGAGGATATGTCACTTCCACGACCTGACTGCTCACTGCAGACACACAAAGAGACAACACTGTGAGCAGCAGAGCCAGTAAATAAAACTGTCACGGATGAAGAGAAAAATCAGACCTGCACCATCGGGAGGCTTCAGTAAACTGCTGCCGTCAGCTTTACAGCTTTGTGGCAGAAGGACGGTCAAACCCGTCACAGTATGCTTACTTGAATTTTGTGTTTTTACCGTTTTTTGATTGTCTGGCTAACAATAAGTCTGCCTTTCTTCACTACTCTAAAAAGAGGCGGCGATTTCCAGTGACACAGAGGGCTGCAAATGAGCCCCCTCCTTGTTGACTGTATTAGGGGGATTGTTGACAAGAGCACCTGAATAATGCAAAAAAGTGCAAAAATACAACATGACATTTGAAGTAATCAGCACATTTCTTTCAGCACAAACACCACTGGGGCTGCAGGTTCCACTGCCAGGTGTGGATTCTGCCCTGTCTGTAATTTATTCTGCTTACATTCACAAACAGGCACTTTTTCCACAGCTGTGGAGCACAGCAAGCACATTTTGACATGTGATGTTATTTGAGTTATTCTGCTAAATTGACTACACAGCAGCTGGATTTATCATGCAATTCCTTTTTTTGATTGACATCTGAAACCTGGTGTCACTCAGGCTGCGTGTTCTTGCAAAACGCTTGCAACCTTAATACCCTTACAAAACTAAATTAACACTTCGTAATATACCAGATTAACATTTGGTGCTTCTTCCTATAGAGACGAGGTCAAATCACAGTCGAGGTGTATGAGTAAAAACATGACCGCTGTTAACTCGAGGTTTAACTAAACTCAAGCCTCCCTCTGGACTTCCAATTACCTGCTTCACCTACACTGAGATCTGAAGACAGAGATTTTCTGTTGGCCTTCCTCCCATGACCACTACGCCAAACCCCCTAAGGAGACAAAGGACAAAGGATTTAGGTTGTTTGTGAAAGGTAGGGAGGGATTGTGCTGGGGAGCTTGATTACCTGAAATGTAACAACTATTAATTTAGCTAAAAACACTGCCAATTACATCTGCACGCACACACACAAAATTATTAGTGATAAAAGACATGTCTGACCTGGTGTTTGGCCACCATGTGGGCAGTGTGGATCAGTGGAGGTCTGATTGAGGGTTTGTACTGCAGAGGTTGGCCTAGTAGTGAGTAGTGTGCTTCACCTAGACATCACAGCCAAATCACAAAGTTATTGGAAACTGAATTTTCATAACAGTATACACCCAAAAATGAACTACTCTTTGAGTTTTTAGGACATTTGTGCCTGATTCCTAAGCACACAATTCTAAACAAAATGTAATTGGCATTCTGAGAATAAATAAATAAATGTAACAGTAAAAAATTATTTGAGCAAAAATTTATTTTATGTCAAATAGTAGGTCAATTCTGATTGGCCGTTTTGGCTGTAAGCCAGTTTTTCAAAGTATTAGCATTTATTAGGAAAGTAGGGAAGCACTAGAATAGTACTAAGCAGGAACATCACAGCCACACAAAAGTAGTTTTTTTTTTTTTTACATACGTAAATACATACTTGGAATCTGTAGCTTATTAGCTTGCAACCTAGCCCTCTTAGTATGTTGCTAGCTACCTGCTAAGCTAGTTGGCTAATTTGATAATTGCAGTGACAAAGCTCAGATTTGTTGGACAGTGTCCGTTAAATCTACATGATACAAGGTGGTTAACAGAAGCTAGTTAGCCAGCTAACTATGTACAGAAGTATAAACTTCAGCTCAAGGCTCTACCAACTAAGCTAGCTACGTTTGGTGAACTTCTGCTTACTAGAAGTTCTACCTATTAAGACTAGGTTGCTAGATAATAAAAGAACAGATTAACTTCTAAATATAATTTTATGGGAAGGTTAAAAAAACCCAACTATGCATATTCATTTAATTTCCGTAATTATGACACAGTTAGCCAAAGAGGCAAATTTTCATTTTTAGTCCTTAGCTTCTGCTTGTAGCCAAAATTGTAACCTAAGATGTATGAACTCTGTGTGGCTGTGGTATTTCTTTTTTCTATTCTTCCACTTCCTTACTTCCCTGGTAACAGATAATCCTAGCCTAGTAGCAATCAAATAAAGCACAGGCTTGGGAGCACTCACAGCACGGAATTGGAAAGAGGGAACATAATTTAAACTGCATGAAAGAGGTTATTAGTGTATAATTATTTGGTTATTAGCAAGCAAACAAACAATCTGGCACCAATCAGCTTTTAGTTGCTTTTGTGTGCTGAGAATCTTCCATTGTGCACTCAGGACCAAAGCACAAGTTAAATTCCTAAAGTTTTTATTCAGCTGCCAAGTTGAAAGCCTGTCTTCTTTTTAACACTGGTGTGTGTGAGAGTCACATGTAGCCTGTGTGTCTCTGACCTTGTCCACTGTGGCAGAAGGATGTAGGGAGCTGCGGGTGGTGGGTTATGACAGGGATGGGTGAGATGCCTGATGAGAGGCCTTTGACGGTAGGCAGCTGGCCTGGCGAGGGAGTGAGCGCCGGAGACGAGGGCAGGCTGCTCTACACATAACATACCAATGGTGCATCGAGACAAAATAGAGAAGAACACAAACACATTCATTCAAAAAAAGCAACCTTATCTTAAGCCATTTTGTCGTTCAAGTTGCTGCTTTAATGTACCATTCCATCCACATTAGTCCCCCTAATGTACCATTACACTCTAATGCTAAGGACTATTTTCTCCTCATTTTCGGGGTACAGCAGCATTGACTTAATTTGCAGAGACTATTTACTACAACATTTAACCTGCCTGGAGCTACATGGAACCTGGTTTTGGCTAAAGGGGACAATTCTCATATCACTGTCAGACTCAGACAACCAAACTAAATTTGCTTTCTTGCGACCGTCTTAACTTTCTGTCACATACTGTACTGCCCTATGTGGCAAACATTACCTAAACAGATTTGTCAATTAATTTAAAATTGTCTGGTAATTGCTGTTGTTGACACAAAGCCAATTCAAGTTTTTCAAAACCACGAGACAACTTCACTAAGGTGTTTCAAAGGTTAGAAATACAAGACACGAACACACCACTTTAGAGGACAAACTGTTAAAGCATCGTCTGAACAGCTGCATCGCTTGTGTGTAATTATCTTCTCCTGACTGATGTTTGTACCTGGGTGTTGTCTGGGGCCAGAGGCAGCTCAGCAGGCCTGTGGCTGTGCTGCCGCTCTGGGCCTGGGTGTTTGTGGCTGGGCTGTTTCCGCTGGCAGGGGGAGGGGGCTCGTGGCTGCTGACAGGGGGACGCTGTCATTTGCAGCATCACCATGCCACCGCCGGGGGCTGGGGGCAACAAGCCTGCACGCACACAAATTAGAAAAAACAAGACACATGGTTGATACCAAGTTATGGTTGATAAGAGGCAACATCAAGTCAGGCAGACATGGAGAAACACTTCCCAACCATTCCTATTTAACCCATCACATAAAGTCATTACTGACATACCTGAGTAAACTGACAGACTAAATGTGCTTTTGTACAAAAGTTCTCTTTCAGCGCTTTTGTTTAGCTACACACCTCATCAGTGAAAACACCACTCTCACACCGTTAGCTGCTGAGCCATTAGGTTTTAAACGCCTTTATTATTATAAGGGCACATCTGTAGTAGCAATAACGGAGTCCATTCCCTTTTCTTGCTGAATCCGCTGTGCGGATCTTGGAGATCCAATTATCTAATTCATTTCTGACACATGATGTGACTTTAAAAACAACAACAACAACAACAACAACAAACAAACAGATGCAACCTCCACTATATTACAATGTACTCCCATCTAATTAATTTCTGTTTACATAAAGCTCACAGTATGTGGAAGTTGCACTGCAAGCTTTGCACAGCCGCTGTTGATTTATGAAATAATACCTAACAGTAGCAAGGACAATAGATTTTTGGACTTAATCTGCAAATTATTCCTGGCCTCGACCTAGCCAATTAAAAATGTTTACTGGTGGCGCTGTAGGTAAGGCTGTTGCGAGACCTTCATCTGTCCTCATTACTGACGGGCTGAACTGATGGCTCCGTCCACTGCTCTCCCATAATAATCAGAGATGAATAATAAAGGTCATTAGCAAGGAGCCCCACCTGGGCCTCTGGACAGCAGTTCTGAGTCCTCGAAAGGCCAATGTAAGAGGCAGTACATGAAAACTTGGGTGGTTCTAGTGATTTTTGTTTTTTTCAAAGCATTAGACAATTTAATTTTCCACTATCAGTACTGAGTGGACTGTACTGCTAAGTACACTGATTGTGATTTCTGGCTCTGAAAAAATAATATCAAACTATAAATGTCTTTGAGATAATATACAAGCAGTATTTTTTTTCTGCTATCTGACCTGTTAAGATACAGTCTTTGCTGTAACCATGAAAAATAAAACAGGGAGTCATTATTTAGGAGTGGGACAGTTGGAAAACAAAGGCTATCCTGCCCAGATATACTCTTGTCAAAACCATGTGATAATATGTCCCAATACAATCTGTGAATCATAACTCATGCTGTAGAGATGCCAACAACTTCATCTGAGGAGTTATGAGATCAGTGATTTCTTACTTTAATAGTTTTTTCCACCATATCAAACGAACCGCTGAATGAGTTACTGTCAATGCAACATTTGCAGTGGCTGACCTAGTAGCTCTTTAATCTCTGTCCAGCTCTGGAGGAAAAAGGTGGATGTGCAAATCACTTCCACTTAGCCAAACTCCAGGGAGCCGTGATCACCACTCCTCGCAGTTTTTCATTTTGAAAATCTGGAGTGTAAATCTAATCATGCCTCTGATGCATACACAATTGAAAAGCAAAACCAGGAAAGATTATTTCATTATGAAGAGCGGGCCGTAGCTAAGAAAGAATACATTCTGCTGTTATTGACACTAAGAGATGGGAAAAATTAAACACCGTCTCTGGCAGTGATAGGGAATCTCAGGGCGGCTAATGTCCAATGATGCCCTCAAGGGGTGATCCATGCTAAAATTACTAGTGTTCACAAGCAGCATCAGCTGATGTGAGCCAGGCCTCGCAAAAGAAAGATCTCAGAAGACCTACGATCACGAGTTGTTGATTTGCATGTGGTTGGAAAGGTTCACAGAGTCATCTCAAAGAATTTAGATATTCATCAGTCCACAGTTAGACATACTGTCGATACATGAAGAGGATTTGGTTCTGTGGCTACCCTCCATTGAAGTGGGCGCCAGGCCAAGATCACTCCAAAGGCGCAACGCAGAACGCTCAGTGAGGTAAAAGAGAACCCCAGAGTAACACTGAAGACTTGAAGGATTCTCTGGAGATGGTTAAGATCTCTGTTCAGGAGTCAACCATATGTAAATTATTGAACAGGCATGGTATCCATGGCAGGACGCAACAGAGGAAGCCACTGCTCTCCAAAAACAACATTACAGCAGGCCTGAAGTTTGCCAAAGACCAGCCTGTGTACAGCTACTAAATAATATTTAACCCATCGGATCTCATGTGAATATGGTAAACTAATATTCACATGTAATCTGCCAAGGAATTAAACGACATATGCAATTTATTTTATACTTTAATACAGTATCTTTACCTTTCTATTAACTTGCGTAGGCTGTATAGCCTTTTCAGTGTGCCACCCCAAGATTTTCACTGGCCTCCCCACTCAATATTCTCTGCAGGCGCCACTGCTAATATCAGATCCAAAAGTGACTATTCTCACGCGATTGTTGTTGGATCTCAACTGGTCTGTGCTTTGAAGGTGAGAGTACCTGCATACTGCTGGCTTGGGTGCTGCTGGGAGACACAGGGGGGCGAGGTCTGAGGAAACTGGAGCTGCTCCATCATCGGGGTGGGCAAGAAACTCACTGTCGAACTATGAATACACACACACACACACACAGTAAACCAAGTGTTTTTAAAAGGGTTTCTGCAGGGTTCATGTCATACATGTGATGGTTCCAGCTATTGCTGTTTTTTCTTCTCTTACATGTGACAAACTGAATATTTTTGGGGCTTGGGATGAAAAAAAAACAATCAGCAGTGAAAGATACTGTGGCAGCACTAACACCAACAATTTCATTATCATTAATTGGATTGATTAACCAGTTAGAGCTGCAGATAACCTGCTTAAGAACCTAATGTCACCAAATTTGTCAACCTAGGTACTTCGGGCATGCCACAGCCTGTACACCTGAAGAAAAAGACATTTACAGTATTATGATGCTCACACCTAAGTAGGCCTTTAAAGTGATCAGAAGCTACACAGACATAAATCTCCAGGAGCTCTGAGATCCTATCGCTGTAGCTGAGGTACTGAATCTGAAATTTAACTCTAAGTCCATCTGTAAAGTTGGCACTCTGCTCTGTAGGAAAAGCCTGCAGGGACTCGTGTACAGCTGGCGAAATAGCAGGCTGCAGGTGGACAGTCAGTCCTCACGGGAGAAGAGAGAGCTGTTCGAACAGTGCTGCATAAATCATTTCCACACCAACTGCCCTACTAAAGCAGACTCATTTTACAGCTGGGACAACGAGAACATGACCTCCCCGTGCATGTGCTTGCATCTTTGCATTGTTCTTCTGCAGCTGACAACTGCATATATGGCTGCATTCAGGTCTGACGTTTGTCATGTATACGTGCGTGCACAGTGGTCCCAGTAGTGCTCCACGCACCAGCATCCAGATTGATAGGGTCCACGGAGGTGGAAACTAATTACGTTTTGCTTTCGGTGAACTAGTTCTATCAATCAGCTATAATGAGCAGGAGCACGGCGCTCCACACTTCTCCACACCAGCAGAGTAATGGAGGAAAATGACTACAGCTCTCTGAGAGGGCATCAGACTCAGCATTCATCAGCTAGAGCAAACCCAGTCCAAAAACACTGTGCTAATAACTTCATTTTTTTCCCCCCTACAGTGAACACAGATGACCTTGGCTCAGAGGTGCTTTGGGGATTCACTCATCGGGTCTGTTGGGTCTATGAATAAGAGGCACCTTCAGGAGTGAGAAACTGCATCAAGTACATGCAAATCACTTTCTGGAACAAAGTACATCTACTGCAACAATCAAAAATCTGAACCATAATAGGTAAGTCAGTCAACTCTTCTTTAAATTTCAGACAGCTGCTATTAGTAGGATGCAGTGAGGACTGTCAGTGACCGTACCTCATGGTGGTGTGCTGGTTAGGGGGGAGCAGGCTATAGCAAGGCTGCATGCCAGCAACAGCCACTGCTCCCTGTCCCGGCTGGCAGGACACAAACACTGGCTGCTGGTACGTCTGCTGTGGCACAGAAACCTGCAGGGGGGGCGAAAAGGATTAGGAAACCTAAGACAAAAATGGAAATCACGTACATAACACAGAAAACA